TTTTTTTTTTTTTTTTTCAACGTTTATTTAGTTTTTGGGACAGAGAGAGACAGAGCATGAACGGGGGAGGGGCAGAGAGAGAGGGAGACACAGAATCGGAAACAGGCTCCAGTCTCCGAGCCATCAGCCCAGAGCCTGACGCGGGGCTCGAACTCACGGACCGCGAGATCGTGACCTGGCTGAAGTCGGACGCTTAACCGACTGCGCCACCCAGGCGCCCCCTGGGGAGGTTGATGTTAATGTAGCCCCTTTGTAATGTTTGCATCTGGAACACAGTAATGATTTCAAGTCAACCACATCAAATGTTTCTGTGCTGCCCCTGGCAGGAAGAAGCTGTACTCTCGGTGCTTTTGTGACATTTCCACCCACCTGACTGGAAAGGGAGCAGGAGTTACCTTTACATTGAGGGGCTGCAGGAGACCAGCCTGAAGAACTGCAAGAGAGTCGAGCTTCACCAACCATAGTGTATCCTTTGTCACATTTATATATCGCCTCAGTACGACGGAATATACCAAATGCTTGATGTCGTTCATACTGTCCATGGTCAATGGTAGGAGGGAAATCACAGCCTTGATGGTGAGAGACAAAAGTGACAGAGTATGAGCTTGTAGAATGTAAAATATAGCTCACCCCAGAATCTGCGTGGTTTGTAGGAGGCTTCCTTCTGTCCTGTGATCTTCTCTGCCCATGGGATCAAGTGTCAAACCCAAGACCTGGGCTGCCCCCTTGTAAGTCTCAGGGTGAGGAACCACCACAGCCCCCTCATTAGACCATTTGACAGTCATATCCAATATCTTCAAAAGTGTAATGGGAATAAACAAAACCAATGCTAGGTCCAAACTCCATATTGAGTTCTTGGTCTATGGGGTAAGACTAGTCATATCCAAGAAGTCAAAGAGAAGCCATTAGTTCTCCCCATTGTCTTCCCCAGGAAGGTGAGATACTATATTAAAAAATGCATCATATGCCAAGGGGAAAGTGGAATGGGGAAATTGGTGCCACTCTTGAAGAACAAAAGCTACGTTCCCATTATATCGCCATTTATTTCCCCAATCTGTCTACCAGGAAAACTAGGATTCTGAGAAATTACAGTAAAGTATTGAACACTGAACATTTTCGTCTCACTTCACATGGGGTATCTTTGCTAAAGTAGATTTAGTTATCCTCAGGTAAATGGGGTCACTGGTTTAGCTAATGCCTTCTTTTCATCCTAATCGGAAAGAAGCGGTCAGAAACAGTTTGCATACACATGAAAGGATCAAATCACACATTTGTAGTTTTAGACCTGGGTATGATTAGTCACTTACCCCTGTCATAATAGCATCTGAAGATACTACAACTATCTGGACATCCACATTGATCCAGTATATCAATGGCATCATGTTAATTCTACTGTATGGGCAAGAAGAAGCTAATGTGTAGATAGATAGATAGATAGATAGATAATAGAGAGAAAGAGAGAGAGACAGATAGATACCTGTCCCAGTTCCTGGTGCAGACCCCTAAACCCTTGTAAATTGCTAAGTGCTGAGAACCGTAAGAACATCTTTTGTTCTACTGAGGCAACTTGCAGTGGCTCCTGGATGGGAGATGGTCACCAGAAAGACCAAGCCATGAATAAAGCATGGAATTTTTCAGCCCCACTCTCCTCTCCAAAGAAGGGGGAAACAGCGTCAATAATTGATCATGCTACAGAGGGTAAGCCTCCATAAAATCTTAGGAGTACATGGTTTGGAAAGCTGCCAGGTGGGTGAACGCATCCACGTCCTGGGAAAGTGATGGATCGCAATTCACAGGGACTGAGGCTCCTGTGCTTGGGATCCTTCCAGACTTCACCCTATATATCCCTTAATTTGGCTGTTCGTTGTATCCTTTGTCAGATCCTTTAATAAACTGGTTAATACAAAAGTGTTTCCCTGAGTTCTGTGAGCCACTTTGGCAAATGAATGGAACTCAAGAAGGAGGTCATGGGAACCTCCAGTTTGCAGCCAAGTTGGACAGATTTTGGTGGTAACCTGGGGACCCACTACCCACATTTGAGATCTGAAGTCAGGAGGGGCGGGGAAGTTTTGTGAGACTGAGTCTTTAAGGTGTAGCATGTGATACAATCTCCAGGTCCATACTGTTGGAACTGAGTAAATTACAGGGCATCCAGATGGTGTTGTGGAGAATTCTTTGTGTCAGAAAAAAAAAAAAAAAACCACACGTTTGGTCACCAGAAATGCTGTGAGTGTTCTGCGTGAGTAGTAAAAGGGACACACAAGGGAGACAGGAGGTGAAGGGAAAGACTGGGCTTTTCCATCCTTCGTAATGATGCTCCAGCATATAGAAGGTAAAGATTCAAGGGTTTGCCAGATCAATGCAATATTTAGAGGTCCAGAGTACACGGCTTGTTAGGCTATCCCTCCAAACTAAAGTCGAACTATTATAAATGGCACACCACACCAAGGAAAAAAAGATGCACAACATATAATAGAACTTTCCCGTTTCCAGAGGCAGGATCTTCCACACGTGGGAATATGATTCCAGCCCATGAGCTAGATGACATAAAACATAGCTGGGTTTGTGTGCAGCCCATGTTGGGATACAGCTCGGCAGCTAGTTCACTGTCCGTGAAATCGTCCTGTTGCTTGGACCTTAGGACCCTGCAGAGCCTCGTATATTGAAGGTGGCTCTAGTCAGAAAACATACATATGTCAATGGCACGATCACAGCATAGACCCTTGAGATCCTGAAGCAAGGCCATGCACTGCTGCAGAGAATTATGTGCTGTAGGAGACACAACTCTTGGCATGTTGTTTGGTCCTGATAGGAACCGTGCCTGACATTGGGTCATGAACTGAGCCCGTGCCAAAATCACTCTTCATGAGCTTGGTCTCTCAGAACCAACAAGTTAGAAGGCCAGGCAGGGAGCAAACCGTTCGTTTATAAAGTGGAAGTCGTCATCTGGGATTGAGCATGAGCAGGACCCGATGGCACAACATCTGGCACAAAGAGGCTGCCCGGATCCTACCTGTGCCCATCCACCATTGCCCAAGTGCCTCTTTAGCTCGCGCTTATGGCTATGTGGGAGGTATCCATGATAACCAATTGACAGAACAGAGGAAACCCGAGCCTGGTTCGTAGGTGTATATTTGGGGTATGTGTGTGCAAGCTAAATGGATGAACACAAAAGGAAAGGAGGAAGTTTGAGGAAGAAAGGAAGCAAATTTAGACAGATGGTTTCAAACAGGTCTGAGTGGGTATTGGACTGCAGATTAAGGCATATGGATCAGAAAGAAGGCAAGAAAAGACAAAAATACCAAGAGAAACAAGGCAATAATTGAAAAGTCCAGCTGATCTATTACACGGGGCCGATTTCCTGATTCAGAAAAGCAAAGCGAAGCAAAGCAAAGCAAAGAAGCAAGGTCAAAGAAGCAAGGATGGGAATAAACAACGGGGGGTGAGGGGGAGGAAAGTTGGACCAGGGGGTGGGCAGTGCTCTTTAACAAATTTATCCACTCCAAAAACCGTGCAGGGTATACAAAATCTTTTAGCGAATTTCAAACCTTCCCTTAATAATCTCCATCGCTTTGATACAAAGAAACATCTAAAAAAACACAAATCCAAAAGCTCTTACTCTCATCACATGTTGGTGTCTTGGGATACCAGGTGCCATCTCCTTGACATCTAGCTTCAAACTGGTATTTCTGGTAACACGTATATAAAACTGCGTCTCCATTGAAAAAATCACAGCTATTGACAGAACTAGATCTCTGTTCATTGATTTTGCCATTCTTCAGCTCTGGTGTTGGGCAACATACCTCTAAAAAATTAAAAGGGAGACTAAAGGTTAGTAAAATCACTTCAATGAAGTTCCTATGGATAATAAACTCATTTCCACCTTCCGAAGATGTTGCCAGTGAAGAGAAATTGGAGAAACAGAGGAGGGTACCAGAGACACTTGGATCTGCTCTCCCTGCCCCTGATTGCTAAAGGACTCCAACCCAGTCATTTCCCTCCAACTAAATAATTTCATTAGGAGCCTCCAAAACGAGAAGTGGGATGAAACCTCTATGAAAATGTAAATTTTGAGAAGTATTCAAAAGCAATGACAAATGACACCCATCGCTTTGTGTTTTCACTAGGGTCACAGCATTACCAACCCCGCTAATAACTTACGCTGCCTCAGTAACAGGAGGAAAACTGTCCTTAAAAGTTTATAGCCAGGGGCGCCTGGGTGGCTCAGTCGGTTAAGCGTCCGACTTCGGCTCAGGTCATGATCTCGCGGTCCGTGAGTTCGAGCCCCGCGTCGGGCTCTGTGCTGACAGCTCAGAGCTTGGAGCCCGTTTCAGATTCTGTGTCTCCCTCTCTCTCTGACCCTCCCCTGTTCATGCTCTGTCTCTCTCTGTCTCAAAAATAAATAAACATTAAAAAAGTTAAAAAAAAAAAAAAGTTTATAGCCACCTGACAACTAATGCACAGAAAAACATTTAAATTATTGCATATGGCCAGGAGTTTTCTTTTTTGATGCCAAATTTAAGAGAAAGAGCTATTAAGGTCTTTAATTTTAATGCAATAAGAGCTGATATAAAGATGTAATTTCTTATTCATTAGTAGAACTACTTTAAGGTAGAACTTGATATAGTTTGAGGTAAAGAAAATATCAGAGCAAATTAAAATGTCCTATTCTTCACATCAGGAGGTTGACTAGCACTACAATGGGGATACTTTTGGGCATACTCAAATACTCTCACCACTCATTTATTTATGAATTACAATAAAAATGTCCAAGATTGATACATTTTCTAAATTATAATATTCATATTTAGGTAATACTGTAAAAAATACTTTTAAGTATTTAAGTCATGAGTGCAATTCCACACTGAATCAGATTGTCTGATAATTGGAATAAATACCATTTCACGTCTGCTTTTTATTATTTTTAATAGTTTCTTCTTTTAAGTTTACTTATTTATCTTGAGAGACAGAGAAAATGAGTGAGGGAGCGGCAGAGCGAGAGACAGGGAGAGAGAACCCCAAGCAGGCTCCATGCTGACCGTGGGGCTGGATCTCACAAACCATGAGATCATGACCCGAGCTGAAATCAAGAGTCGGATGCTTAACTGGCTGAGCCACCCAGGTGTCCCTCACTTCTGCTTTTTAAATGGTTAAAAAATATCCTTTATTAAAGAATTAAATCAATACGACTCTAGTGAGTAAAATAAATATGATTTTAAAGTAGGTTTTTGAACTTCCAACAAAAAAAGTCCAGGGCCAGATGGCCTCACTATTCCCAAGTGAATTCTACCAAACATTTAAGGAAGAGTTACCGTCCATTCTTCTCAAACTATTCCAGAAATAGCAGAAGGAAAACTTCCAAATTTATTCTATAGTGACAGCATTACCTTGGTACCAAAATCAGAAACAAACACCACTAAAAAAGAAAATTGCAGGCCATAATCCTAATGAACACAGATGCAAAAATCCTCAACAAAATATTAACAAACCAAACTCACTAATACATTAACAGGACCGTTCAATATAAACCAGTGAGACTGATACCAGGGATGGGAGTGTGGTTCAATATTTGCAAGTCAATGAATGTGATACATCAAATTAACAAGAGGCAAAACATGTTTAAAAGCATATAATCATTTCAAAAGATGTAGAAAAAGCATTTGACAAAATACAACATCCATTCGTGACAAAAAAAGTGTCCACAAAGTGGGTTTAAAGGAAACATCTCAAAATAAGGTTACATGAAAAACCCATGGTTTTTCATCACAATGATCATGGCGAAAAACTGAAATCTTTTCCTGTAAGACCAAGAACAAGACAAAGATGCCCACTCTTGCCACTTTTATTCAACATAGGACTGGAAGTACTAGCTGCAGCAATCAGACAAGAAAAAAAATAAATAAGAGGCATCCAAATGGTAAGGAAGAAATAAAACGATCACTATTTGCATAGGACCTGATACTATATATAGAAAATCCTAAAGGCTCCTCCAAAAAACTGTTAGCACTAATAAATTCAGAACAACTGCAGGACGCAAAATCAATACATAGAAATCTATTGTGTCTCAGGGCCCTGGGCGGCTCAGTCAGTTAAGTGTCCAACTCTTCATTTCATCTCAGGTCACGATCTCACAGTTGTGAGTGCAAGCCCTGCATTGGGCTCTGCGCTTTCAACGTGCAGCCTGCTTGGGATTCTTTCTCTCTCTCTCCCTCTCTCTCTCTGTCCCCCTCTGCTCTCAGTCTCTCTCTCTCTCTCTCTCTCTCTCTCTCTCTTTCAAAATAAACAAACAAAGGCTTTAAAAAAAGAAATCTATTCAGTTTCCATATACTAACAGCCAAGTAGCAGAAAGAGAAATTAAGAAATTAGTCCCATTTACAATTGTACTAAAAAGAATAAGATGCCTAGGAATAAATTTAACCAAGGAAGTGAAAGACCTATACTCTGAAAACGATACGGCATTGTTGAAAGAAATTGAAGATGACACAAACAAAAGGAGAGATATGCCATGCTCGCGGATTGGAAGAATTAATATTCTTAAAATGTTCATACCACCCAAAACAATCTATGGATTTAATGCAGTGTCTGTCAAAATACCAACAGTGTTTTTCACAGCACTAGAACCAATAATCCTAAAATCTATATGGAACCATAAAGACCTCTAATAGCTAAAATAATCCTTAGGAAGAACAAAGTTGGAAGTAACACAACCCCAGCTCTTAAGACATACTACAAAGCTGTAGTAATTAAAAATGTCTGGTACTAGGACAAAAATAGACACATAGACCACTAGAATAGAATAGAGGGCGCCAAAGTGAACCCATGCTTATATAAACAACTAATCTGTGACAAAGGAGGCAAGAATATACAATGGGGAAAGCACAATACTTTCAATAAATGAGTATTGAGAAGACTAGACAGCTACGTGCGAAAGAATGAAGCTGGACTACTGTCTTACACCATATACAAAAATAAACTCAAAATGGACTAACGACCTGAATGTGAGACCCAAAACCATAAAACTCCTAAAAGAAAGCATGGGCATTAATCTCTTGGACATTAGCATCGGCAACATTTTTATGGATCTATCGCTTCCAAACAAGGGAAGCAAAAGCAAAAATAAATTGTTGGTGCTATGCCAAAATAAAAGTCTTTTGCACAGTGAAGGAATCCCTCGACACAGCAAAAAGGCAACCTACTGAATGGAAGAAGATATTTGTAAACGATGCATTCAGTAAGGGGTTAATATCCCGAATATATAAAGAACTTTTCAAACTCAACACTGAAAAATCAAATAATCTGATTAAAAATGCCTGAATTGACATTTTCCTAAAGAAAATATACAGATGGCCAACAGACACATGAAAAGTTGTTGTTCAACATCACTAATCATCAGGGAAATGAAATTAACCACAGTGAGATATCACCTCAACCCTGCCAGATTGATTGGTAGCAAAAGAACAAGAAATAGCAGGTGTTGGCTAGGATGTGAAGCGGGCTCCAGGCTCCGAGCCGTCAGCCCAGAGCCCGACGTGAGATCATGACCTGGGCCGAAGTTGGACGCTTAACCCACTGAGCCACCCAGGCGCCCCCCCATTTGATTTTGAACGAGGATAAGGAAAGGTTATAATTCTCAGCTCCTCCAAGACTTGCATGATCCCTCCTGACAATAATACTGCACTATTCTGTTGAATTATTATAATTCTCAATTTCTCTTGAAAGATAAAATTTCCTCCATTTAAGGTAAAAAAAAAGAAAAGAAAAGAAAAGAAATACTAGCCCAGGTTGGGCATTTAATATACAAAAAGATTTAAAAAGCAGAAACTCACCCTTACACTCTATGTATGGGGTCCAAGTCAAGTTTTCCTGACATATCACAGTCGTAGGCTCATCTGAAATAGGTTTATAGCCATCACGGCACCTGTATTTCAGCATAGTTCCAATAGGATAAACTCCCTGTCTTGTTGGCATCTGGTAGTTATACATCTCCCAGGAGGTATGTGGGATGTCTGGTAAGCCAAGACAACTATCTGCTCGTCGAAGAAGAACAAGGGGGAAGCGATGCCGTTACTCGGGATGCAACCGTGATCATCGACTAGCCTGTCCTACCAAAGGATGCCATGTGTTCATTCAGTCAGGAACCATCTTGCCCTGGCTGATGGATCAGCCACACCAGAAAACGGACTAGCACCAAGTTATCGTTATTAGTATTAACGTAATTCTCAGTGACTCACATAAGTTTATAATTGCAGAGTGTCAGAATCATAGTTAGGCCATATAATCCTTTTGTGGAAGTTAGGAAAAGGCATTCCCCCCCCCCCCACATGGGACACTTTATTATTATCTGTCAAATCAGTTATCATAATGTAATGATTTTTTTTTGGAACAAAACTATTTTCTACTAACTGCAAGAGAATTGTTGAACGAAATATACTAATCTACAATGTTAATGTCTCCCTTTAGGGTTGGAGAGTCCACAACCCGCGCAACTCTATGTGGCAGCATTTTGTGGTTATAGACGACCTTGCCCAGTGGACTCTAATCATTTTTTTCCCAATAACTACAAGACAAAGACAGTCATTGATCTAAATTTAAATTTTTACGGTGGGGCAAGTGGGTCTAGGCATACAAGTATGCCCTCACCAGCATTTCTGGGTAATTTAGATAGAAACATTGAAATCCTTTCATGGCCCGTACTTACTGAGCTCACAAGTGGGAGGAGGAGGGTCCCAGTTGTTATCTTCTTCACAGTGGATTAAACTGCTTCCTTTGAGAATAAAACCTCTATTGCAGTCAAACACCATGGAGTCTTTATAAGTATAGTGGGGTCCAAATCCCAAGACGATTTTTCCATTTTGAATCTCTGGCTTAGGACAAGTGACTTCTAAAGAATCACAAGAAGAGACAAGTGGGTCATAAGAGAGAAATGGCAATGAAGATATTACTGTTGTTGTTAATCCTGTGTCAACTATAACACAAAAGCCTAATAACACTATATGTCAAGCGGACCCATAGAGAACATTTTTAAACGTTTATTTATTATTTTGGGGAGAGAGAGACAGAGAGCAAGCAGGAGAGGGGCAGAGAGAGAGGGAGACACAGAATCTGAAGCAGGCTGCAGGCTCCGAGCTGTCAGCACAGAGCCCGACGCGGGGCTCGAACTCACGGACCGTGAGATCATGACCTGAGCTGAAATCAAGACACTTAACCGACTGAGCCACCCAGGCGCCCCCCAAGGCTCTTTTTAAAAGCCAGGGCATGATTTACTTTTCTCTCTTCACCCACTGAACAGATGTTGAAAGCACATGTTGATATGGAAATACCACAAGATCAAAGCTGCTAAGTTTGTTGCTAAATTTCCACCTAGACTCCAGCTGCCCTGGAGTCTCCTGGACACTCAGCAGACTGAGTGTGAATGAAAACCAACCTTTACTTTGCAAAGCCAATGAGATATTGGTGCTGTTTGTCACTGCACAATGGTACATCATGCATAAGTACCAGTTGAGAGAATACATGCATACATCATGGCAATAATTAGTCTTGTCATCATTCCATTCCCCCCAACAAATTCACCTTCCAAGCCAAATTCACCTTCCAAATCACAATGCATCATTGTGACTTAGCTTTTTTTTTAAGTTTTTTAAATTATTTTGAGAGAGAGAGAGTACGCATGAGCTCGAATGGGGCAGAGAGAGAGGGAGAGAACCTCCAGCAGGCTCCATGCTCAGGGCGGAGGCTGATGAGAGGCTCCATGTAGGGTTCGATGTGGAGGAGAGGGGCTCGATCTCATGACCCCGAGATCACAACCTGAGCCACTGTCAGGGGTCAGATGCTTACCCAACTGAGCCTCCCCCCCTCCCCCCCCAGGCACCGTGACTTACTTTTACAAGTAGGAGGACTTGGGCTCCAGACGCCTGTTTTTTTATTTTTCACTGTGCAAGAAATGGAGGCTTTGCCTAAGAGCGAGAAGTTGGGGTCACAGCTGTAGGTGACAGAGGAGCCATATGTATAGAAATCTTCATCTCCACCGCTGTGCTTCCCATTACTGATGGCTGGAGGAGGATCGCACTTGGCGACTGGGATGAGTGAATGAAGAGAAAGAAATCATCAGGGAAGGTATCCTTGCAAATCTAAACTTCATGATGCAGCTTTTAATGGCGGGTAGAAGACGCAGCAAAGATACACGGGAGTTTTAGTACCGAACATGGTTGATGTAGGTTTGTGGTCAAGTCAGAAAAAGTCTTTACTTACTTATACATTGTGGGAGAGGATGACTCCAATCAACTCCTCTATCTTGGATCTCACAATGACTAGTGGCTGAGCCAACTAAAACGTATCTGAATAAGAGAGGGCCAAAGATTGTAATGAAATTCCTCTGACTCTAAATGAAGCTGGACAAAGGGGTCTAAATACGTTAACTGGTTACGCAATATTAAACAGTGAAGAAACAATATTTTCTAAACAGCACTTCCCACCGAGCACTCCGTTCAGTAAAACTTATCACCGCAGTGAGATGTGTGTGTTCGTTCATTCATTCTTTTATTCTGGAATCTGTTGGCGGGCAGCGACTATCTGTCAGGCATGGGGTTTATCCCGAGCTCAAACAGGACAATGTAGGGTAAAAGGCTCATTCGAGTATGTTCCGAAGTGTTTTGTAGATGTCGGTACCAGCCAGGTTACTGGCCCCAAACTTTCCTGTCCTTGGACAGGCAGCCTCCCTCTGATTTACAGGTGCTTACCCTCTCCAATACACCATTAGCTCTCTGTTCACGATCCCCATTTTTATAGCTCTTGACAAGTTCTAAGCTTTCTTCAGTTTGTCTTACTGCCCTCTGTATATTATGGTAACAGAAAGAAAAAGCACTGTTAGTATGTCTTAAAATTGTGCTATCATCAAGGAATAAATGTACACTCTGATTGAAGATTAACGCAAATGGGACCTCCAGTTGGCTTTATTTAATAATAAATAATAATACGTAATAATCCTAGTTGGATTTATTTAATAATGACTTAAAGAAAAACTAATCTTTTAATAAGATAAGAGACACTGAGATGTAAGCATTTCTTCATTTTGAAACTTCTTAAAAATGTACATTTTCCAAACTACTCAGGAAACCAAGTGAAAAGTGTGGTTTCCAGCTATTCCAATAGGAACACTTTAGTGTTCTGACAGCACTTGCGTTGTGAATCTTCTCACTTTCTGTTTTGGGAGCCATAAGGGATAAATAAGGATACATGTGAGAAAACCAAACTAAAGGGAGCAACAACATTAGAGGAAAACGTTAAGCACGGATAGCAAGCAAAGGAGAATCAACACGTACTCAGTCGGAGAACCTGACAAAGGAACACAACACAAAACAAAATAGCTATTTTGAAATGCATATCAAGTAAGTATTACAGAAGTAAAATAATAATCTACATTTTAAAATAGCAGCTCGCAGCACAAAATGTTGAACTAAGTGAGCTGTTCCAGGACAACAAAGAGTAAAATTACTAAAGATTATTTTGAGCTAAAGGCACTTGAAATGTCAGACATAGGAAGGGCACTTGGACTTCTTTTCTTTCTGAAAGCAGGAGATAAAACTCTTCATGTAGAAGATGCTCTCCCTATACCGCGAGGAAAAAAACAGTCTTTTCACCGGAGATGAGGAGTTGAAGCCAAGAGAAATCTATACAGACAGACCTTGCGGAAATAACCCTTAATCTTCCTGTAGCCTCCCCATGTATTTTGTTACTTTTCTACAATTGTTACTTTTTATTCAACCTAGCATATAAACACTTAGGCCTAATCACTTCTTGGGTCTTCAGTTTTCCTGTGTAGGCTCCCATGTATGTCTAAAAATAAAATGTGTATGCTTTTCTCCTGTTAATCTGTTTTATATCAGCCTAATTCTCAGGCCCGTTCAGAGACCCTGAGAGGGGAGAGGAGAAGTTTTGCATCCCCTATAAGAACCTGTGCTTGTCCAGGGAGACTCAACATTAAAAAAAGAAAAAAAAAAGTCTATTCTTCAAAAATGAAGTTAAACACTAATCCAGCACTGATTTTTTTTTATTTTTATTTTTTGCATTTTAATATAATTTATCGTCAAATTGGCTTCCATACAACACCTGGTACTCATCCCACCAAGTGCCCTCCTCAATGCCCATCACCCACTTTCCCCTCTCCCCCAACCCCCCAGCACTGAATCTAAAATATGCCTAAATTTAGGGATGCCTGGGTGGCTTAGTCAGTTAAGCATCCAACTTTGGCTCAGGTCATGATCTCACAGTTCCTGAGTTTGAGCCACGCGTAGGGCTCTGTGCTCTTCGCACAGAGCTTGCTTTGGGCCCTCTGCCCCCGCTGTCTCTGCCCCTCCCCCTCTCATTTTCTCTCTTTCTCTCTCTCTCTCTCTCTCTATCTCCCTGTCTTTCAAAATAAGTGTACTTTTTATTTTATTTTATTTTTTTAATTTTTTTTTCAACGTTTTTATTTATTTATGGGACAGACAGAGACAGAGCATGAACGGGGGAGGAGCAGAGACAGAGGGAGACACAGAATCGGAAACAGGCTCCAGGCTCCGAGCCATCAGCCCAGAGCCTGACGCGGCGCTCGAACTCCCGGACCGCGAGATCGTGACCTGGCTGAAGTCGGACGCTTAACCGACTGCGCCACCCAGGCGCCCCTAAGTATACTTTTTAAAAATAAAATAAAAGATGCTTAACTTAAAACTTTATGTAGAAAACAATTATTATCAGGAAAAAATTTTTTAAAGCCAAGAAGGCAGGACTACCCATATTGGCTATTAAAACACATTATAAAGTCTTGATAAGTATGTCACTGTGAAATATGTATATGAACATACAGGCAAAACAATGGCTTTGAGTAGAAACATATATAGATACATACACGATATATATAAGACACATATGAGAATTTATTACAGTACCGAAAAGCACTCTCAAATTTGTAAACTGAAGATGGACTTTTGGGGTAACAGGTTCCAGTCATTTGGAAAAGCATTGCCTAAAATAGGCACCTCATGCTGTATATTGTATATTGACTCCAAATGGATCAAAGCTTTAAACATCAAAAAATATGAAAACGTACAAGCAGTAGAAGAAATCTAGGCAAACCGTTTAAAATCTTGTATTGGAGAAGGGCTTTTAAATGAAGACCTAAAATCTAGAAGTTATTTTATTTTATTTTATTTTATTTTATTTTATTTTATTTTTTCACTTATTCATTTGAAATAAAGAGAGAGAGAGTGCGCATGCAGGGGAGGGGCAGAGGGAGAGACAGAATCCTAAGCAGACTCCAAGCCCGGCATAGAACACACTCATAAGAATGAGATAATGAGTTGAGCCAAAATTAAGAATCTAACACTTAACTGACTGAGCAGCTTAAGCACCCCCAGAAGCCATTTTAAAAAGAGAAATCGATAAACTTGAAGCCAAAGTACAGTTTTTCCTTGAGAAGAAAAAAAAATGTATCAATACCAAGTCAAAAGAAAAATTATATACTTGGGGGGAAAGTCTGCAGTTCATATCAGAAAAAAGGTCTAAACCCTAATATGCATAGGTTCATGTGTATATATCTTGTGTGTGTGTGTGTGTGTGTGTGTGTGTGTGTGTATATATATATATATATATATAGGTTTATGTATGTACATATCTACCCTAGAAATTAAGAATAAAAATTTCAACAAATTAATTGAAAAAATAAGCAAAGGAATATGGCAAATAGTCCCCAAATAAATACAAATGTCTCTTGAACACATAAAAATATGCTCAACCTCACTCATAATAAGAGAAATATACGTTGAAACTATGGTGAGCTTCCAGTTTTACCTCTTAAATTGGAAAATTTTCAAAAAGTTTACAAGGTTTCTGAAGATTGACAATACAGAAAGTTTTTGAAGAGAAAGGCATTTACATACCCTGCAAAACACTGTAACCTCTAAGGAGAGCAATTTTGCAGTATCTTTAAAATTTTCAAATATGTGTACTTTTTGACCCAGAAATCCCACTCTGGAAATTGACCCTATAGATATAACTACATCTGTAAAAATTTATACATGTGCCAAGTAATGCATCCGAACACTGTTCAGAATAGCAAAAATTGGAAATATCTATGGATCCATCAAAGAGATTGTTAATCCGTGATGCATCATACGATAACATTCTTTGATGTTGTAAAGGCAAATCAATAAGAAACTTCTAGGTACAAACATGAAACTATGTCCTGTATACACTGATGAGTAGAAAACAAGGCAAGACTCAGGGGTGCCTGGATAGCTCAGTCAGTTGAACACCCAACCCTTGATTTCAGCTGAGGTCATGATCCCAGGGTTGTGGGATCAAGTCTGGTGTTGGACTCCATGCTGAATTTGGAGCCCGCTTGGGATTCTCTCTCTCCCTCTGCCCCTCTCCCCCACCTGCACTCTCTCTCAGAGAAAGAAAGAAAGAGAGAAAGAAAGAAAGAAAGAAAGAAAGAGAAAGAAAGGAAGAATGAAAGAAAGAAAGAAGGAAAGAAAAAGAGAGATAGAAAGAAAGATTCAAAGTTATGTTCGTTATTGGAAAGGTGCGATAAAAACGTATACTAATTTCTTAACTTGTATTTTTAAAGATAAACACCAGAAAGATACATAAGAAAGCAAAAAAGTGGATCCCTGTTTAAGGACACAAAGGAATGGGTGGAGGGTGAGAGAGTAGAAGTGACAATCCTCAGCGTATACGGTCTTATATCACTTTTACTTTTGAACTATATGAATACATTAGCTACTTTTTAAAAAATTAACTTAAAAGAATTGTTTCTAGATTGCTTCGCACTCACCCAGTTGAGCAGACGAATTCTATGTGTGATCCAAACAAGATATCTGTCTTAACTATCACTTGCCCGTTTTGTAATTCTCCAGGATGTCTGCATCTTTTCTCTGACAAAAAAAAAAAAAAAATTCAAATGATAATTAGTGATTCCAAGTATTCACAGATAAGGCATTAGAAAAGAAGATTGATTGATTAGCTCTGGCCTATGCTTCCAGGAAGACCCAGAAGCTGAAATTCAAACTTATTTCTGATCCTGAATCACTAAATGTTTACTTTGGGGGATAAATGAATACAAAACGTGATCCCATATTTTTCTGGTACATTTCACCACTAAAGAAAAGGACTCCGCTAAATCACTGTGGTAATGGAGTCTACGACCCAGGATAGACACTGATTAGGGAGCTATGGTCCATTCTATATTTGTGGCATATACTTTGTATTTAGGCCAGTTGAAAATGCATGTCATGAGTTACAAAAGGTACAATAAAAAGCGTAGACTGTATACCCTTACTATTGGAAAAACGTTACGGAATATATTCTCAACCACAAGTGAATCACAGAATCTTCTTCCAAACACAGCAAATATTTTGGGTGAAGTTTCTTTGGAAACTACATTACCACTCTCTAGCCACATAACTTTTTGTTTTAAGTTTACGTGTTTGTTTTGAGATGACAGAGTGCATGCAAGTAGCGGAGGGGCAGAGAGAAAGGGAGAGAGAGAGAATCCCAAACAGGTTCCGTGCTGTCAGTGCAGAGCCCAATTTGGGGCTCAATTCCATAAACGGTGAGATTATAGCCTGAGCCGAAATCGAGTCGGAAGCTTAACCCACTGAGCCGCCCAGGCATCTTTGTAAAGAATGAATATGGTTTTCAAAATAGTAAAATTGAATTTGCAGTTCACTTTGGAAAGAAGTGTTTACCGAACTACGTTGTAAAGGATAAACTTATTTTTCACTGCAACTAGGTACTTTGTAATTTTTGTTTTCTTTGGTTTTTTTATTTATGTTTTTCAAAAGGTAGCACACATGTGTACTTTGGAATCAGTAACTGACAACTGGATGGTTTCTTAGTAACCAAATATTACCACTTGCAGTCAGAAAACGTAATTCCTGAGACAATTTTGCAAAGAGGGGCAAAGCGCAAATAAGAAAAATAAATGTTCATACTTACTGACACAGAACTCTTCGTAGTTCCATGACCTGTATCGGCAGGTAACATCCTGACTTTTATAAGGATCCTTACTGTAGCCAGGACGGCAGGTGTATTTCAGGATAGTCCCAGAGATGAAGGAAGTCTGGTTCAACACATTTATTGGGGAAGCAAAGTATAAATTCGGTGGGGGACCACAACTACCTGGGCACCAAAATGACAAAGAATGGCGGAAGTTAATGCCTTGAAACACAGCATCTCAATATTTCAGTAGTATGATTTTTAGAGGAAGAACCATTCTTTTCCCCTCTAATCAAGAAAAATTACAACTCCTATTATCCTCATTGTTCAAGGAATCCAGTGAGCGATGAGTAACACGCATTTGCTGATAAAGGATAATGATGATGGTAATGATAAAAACGTCGTGTCAGATTGGTTGCCTCAGGAAAGGGAAACCCCGGTGGCTGGGAGATGGATAAGAACAACATTTTTAATTTGCATTTTTTTTGTACATGCTGGATTTTGAGTGATATGAAGGAAAAAGCATGGAGCCCTTGAAACATAAGTCTTAATCCTGCTGACCTTGCAAGAATTAAATTAGAGGATTCATTTACATTTCCGGAGCCCAAGTAGAAGTCTATACTTCATTCCCCTCTCTATTCTAGATAGACCCAGAAGCAGTGAAAATTGCTCAGTCAGGCTGATAGATCCTATAGATTTGTTTCAAGTCATGCTTGGGAGACAGATTGTTTTGGAAATCCCTGGAGGAGAAATGGTAGGAGGAAGTGTCTAGAAAACTGCTTCCTTTGTGGATAAAACGAAGTACCCTTAAATCCCAAATAACTCCAAATCCTCTTAACCTTCAAATTCTACGTTTCTGATCAAATAAATCCCTTGTTGCTGAATGTGGCTTTCTGCTCAAAGTTGAATCATCTGTTAGCCTTAAGAGTGAATGAGTGAATGATCTTGAATATCTGTTGCCAAAATGAACATACCTCTCTATTACTCACCAAGGACAGTAGCAAATAGAGCAGCGACCAAGGTCATTTGGAACAGAGTTGGATCAGAGACTTTCCACAGCCTAAGAAAGGGCCAGGCTGCCATTTTCTTTTTTCTATGACGGATCCCATTTAGAGGAGCACTGGGGTGCATGACCTGATGCTTCTCCCACAGTTTTCTGCCAAAAAAACTCAATTTGATAAACAGTCATTGAGGGACACTTGGGTGGTTCAATCTGTTGAGCAGCAAACTCCTGATTTCGGCTCAGATCATGATTCCAGCGTTATGGGATGGAGCCCTGAGTTGGGCTCCATGCTGAGTGTGGAGTCTGCTTGGAATTCTCTCTCTTTCTCTCTCTTTCTCTCTCTCTCTCTTTCTCTCTCTGCCCCTCTCCCCGGTCACTCTCTCTCTCTCTCTCTTTCAAAAAACAAATAAACAAAAATAAATAGTCATTGAGTTCCTACTTGTCGTAATGCACCAGGATAAATGCTGTGGGGTCCACATCTTCACGAAAATTAAGGCCTAGAGTGGAAGAGAGGACATGAATACAGTGTCACAGCACAAGACAGTGAGTGTTAGTCTCTGTGGAAGTACTTTGCTCAGAGGAGAGGAGAGGGGGTTGCTAAGAAGGGGCAGCTTATACATGTGTCTGAATGGGACGTAAGCGTCAGGTTTAGGAATTTATAGATGCTACTCTTTAGGGAATAAAGAATCGTTGTTTTTTGTTCTGGGTTTTGTTTACCCTTTGTTTACTTTGAAGCTAAGGAGTGACTCATTACCATGCTCTGAAAAGAGCAGTATGGCAGTTGTGTACACGACAGACTGAAGTAAACAGAGAGAGGAAACAGGGTAGTTAAGGAAGACTATTGCAATTGGCCACATGAGCCGCAAGATGGTCTGACCAAGGAAATGGCAGAGGAGTTGGAGAAGAGGGAACAAATGTAAAACGAAATAAAACCAAAAGGCAGGCAAATGATGAGACAGAGAAAAGGAGCCAGATCTGTGTAGTATTGAGAGTTCCTCATGACAACTGTCAACAAAGACAATAAACCATCAAGCAATTTGCAGTTTTGAAAGAATGGTTTATGGAGAGATACATATAACTATAGATATACATATAGATATACAAAGAAAAGTAAAAATTTATGTGACAAATGTACTTTCATTATTTAATCAGACTATTTAAAGACCTATTTAAAGACTATTTAGGGACACTTTTCTCTCCACCGCTCCTGTTCTCTTTGGGAAAAACAAGGTATCTTAAATTTACATTAAAAATAGTCCTCGTTCTCTGGGACGCCTGGGTGGCTCAGTGGGTTAAGTGTCCAACTTCAGCTCAGGTTATGATCTCGCGGGTCATGCGTTCAAGCCCTGCATCGGGCTCTGTGCTGATGGCTCAGAGCCTGGAGCCTGCTTCAGATTCTGTGTCTCCCTCTCTTTCTGCCCCTCTCCTCCTCACACTGTCTTTCTCTCCCAAAAATCAACAAACATCAAAAAAAAAAAATAGTCCTTGTTCTCAAAGGACTGTATGAAGTTAACTCCTAAGGAAATACTGAATTTCATCTTTTATTCTGATACGTATTAGATCCAGATAATTCTACACTTCCCATGTGTCCATAATTCATAATATACACATATCTGTGTAAATAAAGGGAGGGCCCTCAAAATTTCCCTCAGAGATATTTCTGTCCCACGTTGTAGAATAAAAAAAAAAAAAACAATTTATGATGACCTATATTTCTGTTCCACATTACTGGGGGGAAAAGGCTTATAATGACCCTTCACACTATGTGGAGGGGCCTAACATCCTCATTGAGTAATGGCTCATTTAACCTCATCTTTCCAAAATTCATCTCTGATGAAGCCATGCCTTCAGCTGCTGTCGGCTGTGGGCAATTCCGTCTGATGCTCAGCCTAGTCCCTGAGCTCCAAACATAGCTGCTAAGACAGTTCTGCTGAAAAAATAAATTCAATCTGATGACCAACTTATCAAATGCATTCTCTTACTAAAATATGTTTACAAAATTTGTACCGAATACATGCAAGCTGTCTAAAGAGGTAGAAAGGAGCCAGGACCAGATTTTGGGCCCTTACATACCACCTTTCTTTTTTGTTTGCACCTCTCTTTTCTCCTTCCTGATCTCTAGTCTCTCTCTTCCTCTTGGCTAACCATCTGGATGAGACAGGAGACAGAGGGGGGTAAGGCTGGTTTCACATAGTGAAAAACAATCCACCAAATCATCTGTGAAATTTGCAAGTATGATAAATTTCTCCCATCCAATAAAAATTGTTACGAACTGGGGCGCCTGGGTGGCGCAGTCGGTTAAGCGTCCGACTTCAGCCAGGTCACGATCTCGCGGTCCGTGAGTTCGAGCCCCGCGTCGGGCTCTGGGCTGGTGGCTCGGAGCCTGGAGCCTGTTTCCGATTCTGTGTCTCCCCCTCTCTCTGCCCCTCCCCCGTTCATGCTCTGTCTCTCTCTGTCCCAAAAATAAATAAAAACGTTGAAAAAAAAAATTGTTACGAACTGTAAAAACGATAGAAATGACTTTCTTCAATTTTTGATAAGTTCATGTTTGTTGAATTTCAGTGAAATTGAAGAAAGAGATATAAGAATACCCATACATATTTTTTAAAAATTAAATGGAAACTTTTTAATTAAAAAAAAATAAAATAAAATAAAAATACCAATGCATTGGCAAAATAAAATTTGGCTATAAAAACTCAAGAAGCTAATAGTATAAAGTGAAAATTACTCATATGAATTGTTGCAGTTGTTATGTTCACAATAAAAAATACACATTGGATATACCAGGGGGAAATATTCATGAGAATATTTATAAAAACACAGCCATAAGATTAAATCCCTACCTTTAAGAATTTGAATAGAAATACCTAAGATACTGCTACAAAGAACATATTCGTTAGTTATGTTCAAAATTCATATATTTGTAATCATTGAGTATATTCAAAATGCATATTTAAAACAATGTTCAGAACTGATGAATGGATAAAGAAGATGTGGTTTATATATAAAATGGAATACTACCTGGCAATGAGAAAGAATGAAATCGTGCCATCTGTAGCAACGTGGATGGAACTGGAAGGTATTATGCTGAGTGAAATAAGTCAGTCAGAGAAAGACAGATACCATATGTTTTCACTCATACGAGGAACTTGAGAAACTGAACAGAAGACCGTGGGAGAGGGGAAAAATAGTTACAAACAGAGAGGGAGGGAGGCAAACCATAAGAGACTCTTAAATACAGAGAACAAACTGAGGGTGGATAGGGGATGGGAGAGAGGGAAAACGGGTGATGGGCACTGAGGAGGGCAGTTGTTGGGATGAGCACTGGGTGTTGCAGGTAAGTGACGAACCATGGGAATCTACCCCCACAACCAAGAGTATATCTTACGCACGGTATGTGAGCCAATTTGACAACAAATTATATTAAAAAAATAAAACAATGTTCAGTAAATTGATAATCCGATAAATTCAGCAAATATGGTTTCAGCAAACTGATCCTTCAGGAATTGGCACTCATTCAATTGGCCTCTGGCAAAGACCTTTTCGGGGGTTTGGTCTGAGCCCTCATGCTTTGGCTGGCCTGAGCAACCTGGATCTCTGACAGTCCCAAATACTTTCCTAGGACACTCCTGCCCATATCACCTGCTGGTCCTTCTTCCCTCTTTAATTCCTACTCATTCTGCCAGCCCCTTATCCAATGGCCCCTTCTTTCCTCCAAGCCAGTCTCCATATTCTAATTACAACTCAGTGTTTATCATTTTGATTCTGACTTGGCTTATAATTAACATCCGAAGTCTGTCCGCAACACTAGACCGCAAGGTCCTTGAAGTCAGAGGTGGGTGCTTACTCGTCTCTGCCTCACCTAGTACCTAGCACTGTGCCTCACACGGTTAAAGTACTCAATAAATGTTTGTTGAATTCACATGCAGAAGCATTTCGTGACAGGGGCGCCTGGGTGGCTCAATTGGTTAAGTGTTCAACTTAGGCTCAGGTCATGATCTTGTGGTTCATGGGTTCAAGCCCCAAGTAGGGCTCTCTGATGTCAGGGTAGAGCCCACTTCGGATTCTCTGTCCCTCCCTCTCTCTCTGCCCCTCACCTGCTCACACTCTCTCTCTCTCAAAAATGAATAAACATTAAAAAAAAAAAGCACCTAATGATAAAATGTTTTAAAGAAAGGTAATACTGCCCCACATCCATATCTACTCTTACAGTGTTTTGTCAAGGCCAGAGCTTAACTGGTTTTTTTTAAAATTTTTTAAAGTTTATTTATTTATTTTGAGAGAGAGCGACTGGGAGGGGCAGAGAGATGGAGAAAGATTAAGAATCCCAAGCAGGCTCTGTGCTGTCAGCACAGAGCTCGACGTGGGGCTTGAACTCCCGAACCACGAGATCATGACCTGAGCTGAAACCAAGAGTCGGATGCTTAACCGACTGAGCCACCCAGGCGACCCTGAGCTCCTACTGATTTTAAGGTAAGACACACCTGTCTCTTAATGAGAACAGACCACAACGATTTTACCCCAGGCTCTTCCCCCTCCTTAACCTGAAGTCCTCATATCCTCAACCATTCAACAGAGGACTGTGAGGAGGGAAAGAATGAACAAAAACTAGCTCCCCTCCCTCCACAGGCTATGACAGGAGATAAAAGGCAGCCACACACACAGACCCTACACTAGAGTGAGGAATTCATATGTCTCAGCCTCACGCCGAGGCCACAGACACAGTGCTGGGGACACAGGAGGCCAGTATGTGGCCAGGCCCTGGGGCATGGGCTCTGGAGTCAGATCCAGGCTATGTGGATTGAATCTTGGTTCCACCAGATGGGAACTGTGTGGCCCTGGGCCAGATACGCAGTCCTCTAAGCTTCAATTTCCTCTTTTATAAAATAGGAATGAAAACTATACACGCCCCTTGGAATTGCTGCGAAGTAGCTTGGCGTGGTGCACAGCTGGAACTCAGAAAACATTGAGAAGAAATGTTAGAAAAGGAAGTGAGGGGATCGGGGTTGGCATGTGACCCTAACAGGACCAGAATTCCCGGAGTCAAAGCATCATCAGAATAATGATATACAATTGCAATGACGTCTGCCTGCATCACAAGGGAACTTCAATTAAACCCCAGCGCAGAGGAAAGCCCACTTGGACTTGACCCAGAAGTCATTAGTTGGGTCTTCACTGTGGTCTTTGGTGATCGTGAGACCCAACACTACACCCAGAGCAGAGACTCTGGCACCCCTGGGGGCCTGTCCTGGGGGTTCTTCTTCCCCCCAGTCTTCATCGTCTTCCAGAGAGGAACTCACCTACTCCCGTGACGATGACCATCACCCAGGAATCACTCACAGACCTCTGAGCCCAACTGTCTTCTGTAGGTGCAAAAACTTACACGCTTCATAAACTCTGTTGTTAACAAAACTCTCATTCTGCCCTATTCAGTCCCATATGTAAATTTTGAGTCTCCAAACTGAAAGTTTCTACAAGTTAGTCAAAGAAATCTCGGCAAAATAAGGAGGAAATATTTTGTCTTCCCCTGTAGCCTCACAAAAGCAGGTACCTGCATCATAAAACTGACCTTGCAGAGGTTATTTCTGAGACTTTAGAGATCATTACTCTGCCGCTTGACTGTAACTTTCAACTCTGGAAAAGTCTACAATTCCAACGGGTTACCTTCACAAATTATTTTTTGTCTGGGATCGTATTTAAATTACATTGCTGCTTTTGACTGTGACAAACACCTGTGAGTTTTCTTTGCAAATCCAGAAACAAAATCAGCGCACTTGTCACATGTAATCCTGAAAGTAAACTCAAACTTTTCACTCTGTTGGATTTCTTTTTTTAAATGTCAGCTTTATTGAAGTGTAAGTGACTAAATTTTAAGATTTTTAAAGAACATATCACTCTGATTTCATATTTGTGCACCTTGAGAAAAGACTGCCCCCGCCCCGCCCCGGCCACCCATCTTTTTATTTTTTTAATTTTTCAATGTTTATTTCTGAGAGAGAGAGAGACAGCGTGAGCAGGGGAGGGGCAGAGAGAG